CCCCAAAACCCCAAAACCCCAAAACCCCAAAACCCCATTAGAACTTAATTAATTGATTGTTTTAATTTTTACACAGCTAAATACAACTCTGAGATAGTTCATCTTCCTGCGTCACTTAGTCTTGGCGATCATAGCCAGGTTCTTCCTCATGGGAAACTAAAGGCTGGGCTTTTAACTTTGGAGTCCTGCTTCTAAGAAAATATCTCTCTGCCTCTTCAAATTCAGGATTGAGATGGTTCTCATCAAAGGTTATGCTATTTGAGGATCTGTCTAGACTAAAATCTTCATCTGATTGGAACCCTTCTATTCAGAAATTATCGTAGTTGATGTCATCTTCAGCATCTTGTTCTGTCTCTAATCTTTCCATTTCTTTGGTTCACATGTAGTCTAAACAAAAGGATTAGAAAATAAATTTTTTGAAATAGTAGTCAGTAAGTACCTTCATCATCAGAATCTGGGAGCAGATCTTTCTGTTCTTCTTCAGGCACTGGCTGGACGGTACTACGTTTCGTCTTCATGATGTATAAGAAGTAAGCTAATGATCCAATGCAGAGGAACACTAGCTTTGTAGTCGCACTAGCACATGCTACTTCTGAGACAGACTGAGATTTGAGTTTGTCAATATAAAGATTGATGTATGTACTGTATTTCATCATTAAATTTGGAATACTCGCTGATAAAGCTGATGTTCCAACTCCTAGAAGAATGTAACAGTGAGGTCATACCTGTAGTAAAATTAGAGAAGTCTTTGATTCCAATATTTCTGTTTCCTAAGATCGCCTTTAAAACTGAATTTTTTTCTGGGCTTCTAATAAATTAGAGACTCTAACTTACATTGCCGGATTATTTTCATGCCATACTTCACTGTTGGATTGTATCATAAGCCATCGAGATCATGATTCCTGGAGCTAAGGTCTTGACTGCCTTCATTCCGTACATTAGCCACTTATAAATCTTAGATTTAGCAATGATCCTGGATAAGGAGCATCTTCCTTGAGGCACCATCTGAGTTTCAGATTGTTGCTTTTTATCTTCTTCATTTTCATCAAATTTCGAAAGAATGACTTTGCTTCTTTTCTGTCTGTACTCTTCTTCTGGGCCAAACCCGCCAACTGGTTGTCTTCGTTTTCCAAACAAGCCTGGTGTAGATACCATTGTAGTGAGGCTTCTCTCTACAGAGACTTGACATTTATCTAAAATATTTCAAAAAGATTCCTACCTAATAATCTGGTTTTTACTGTTGTTGAAACCTTCGAGCTAGGCTTCGTGCTGATGCATTCTGATTTATACTTCCTATAAGACATGAGAGGGCTAGAATAATGGGAATGTGCAAAAATAACCGAAAATTACCCTGGCTCAAAATCTTGTATGGTGGGTTTGGCAGGAGTTTGATGACTTTCTTCTGAAATCCCCAGGCTCAACTTTGCACTTGTCTCAATATCTGAGTTAATCTCAATCTTCAAATTATCACAGAAGTATTGAATCTGATGATAAGATTTATGTACGATTTCCAAATCCAGGATTTCAGAGGTATAATAAGAAATATTCTCAAGGGACCCAATTATCTTATTGCGGATCTCTTTATGAGTTAGAAACCCTTTGAGGCTCTCTCTGGAAAAGTTCCGTTGAAAGTCATCCATCTCTTGGGCTATTTTCTCGATCTCAAACCTGCACAAGTTAATCTTGTTGAAATAGTTGAATTCGTTGTCACTGACTCCTGATTTTATGAGAAAGTATTACTTACTTTTGTTTTGGACACAATTCAGCATAAAATTAAAATACTTAAAAAGATCTTTCTTCTTCCCGATTAGAGCTTGGTAGATCTCCTGATAATCCTTGAAAGTCTTCGGGGCTGTGCTAGTGAAAAAGCCTCGAAGATGTCTCTTCAGAGTAGATTTGCTACCATTCTGGGTGACTTTTAAAAGCCTGATCTTGCCACTAACCTTCTTCTTTTCCATTTATAAAATATTATTTCTATCAGGGGTCTCTTTTTAGGGGTTTTGGGGTTTTGGGGTTTTGGGGTTTTGGGG